ATCGAGGGAATTGCATCGTGGACGGACATAAAGCGGGTGGAAATTGCTCTATTGTTTTTATTGCTGAAACCTTCTCTATATATGGATGGGCTTTAAATCTCACTGGGGGTGTTTCAATGACCTCTGCGGAATAGTCACGGGATCATTTCGTTTTAACAAGATAAATATATGCATATATCCACCAACATAACATGCGGAATATCTGTGTGTGTGTGTGTGGATAATTGAAAAACTTTACGACTACACAAGTATGTCAATCGTGTGGCTTCCAGAGTGTATTTGAAAATTCGCAAAATTCCGCAGTTTCAGGGAAAATCTGTGAGTTTGAAAAGCCAAAAAACTCCCGCAATATTAGGTCATTCGCTTTCCACGTCGTTCCACAGCAATTTATTGCGCTCAAAACCTCTTCTCGTCCTAATTTTTATCCTGCAAAAATAACTCCACCAGCTCCGGCATATATAGGAGGGGACAAGAACACATTTCACCAATTAATTAGTACACCACAAAGCACTCTCAAAACATCACACTGCAAGTTGTCACATCTCTCCGTGTTGATGTTTTTCAAAGTTAATTTAAAGTTTTAAAGGGCGCATGTGAGAGTTTTGGATTAAAATATGCTGGAAAATACAGCAAAAATTTTCCAAGGGGCAGATATTATGGTCGCAAGTGGTGTACAGCTTTTGTTGAAGTGTTTATTTGACATATTTGCATAGCAAAAGCTTCAATTGCAAGAAAATTGAGGCATTTTCTATATAATTTTACACAGATAACCCTGAAAGTCATCAAATTTGTGCTTAAGCTGGGATTATTTCAATTTTTTCACAGAATTGAGCATTTTTAATCAGAAAAACATTTGATATTAACTGAGAAAAAGCTTTGAAGCCAATCATAACCTCAAAAAATCCAATTTCAGTGTAGATGAATTTTTCTTTCTTTAGTTTTTTTCACTGTTTTTGCTTTAAAGTGATAAATTTAACCTCATTATCTAGTTGAAACATTAAGAGATTTACTATATTTACTCATTTTCAGGTTTAAAAAGATCTAAATAAAGCAAGAAGGATTTTTTAAGTCCAATTCATAACCTCACAATTTGGTCAGATTTTTTCGAAGCGTTTTCTGAAGGCAAAACTCTGAAAAGCGATGAAAAATGCCTTTTAAAGGCGTTCAGAAGTGTCTGAAGTGTTGAAAATTCTACGCAGAAGGTATATTATCTCCCCCTTGAAATTTTCTACTCATGCATATAGAATTTTCCCAGGATTTCGAAGTATGGATACAAAAAAGAATAGTTTAAAAACATCTGATGATAACTAGCCACAAAATTGTATCATTTTCAGGCATTTTTCCCATTGAGGCAAATTTTCACAATTCGCCGTGCACATAATTTCAACTATTTCCGTTCACAATTTCCACCCACCCTCCCTGTCCACCCCAATTCAGGCTAGATATTCAAATGCGGATAGGTGGTGTGCCAGAGCACACATTATGTACGGCGAGGAGAGGAGCTAATGCAGGAGGAAATGTGTATATAACGGCTGCAAATTGACTTTATGAGCTTTCGCATAAGCTGTATACATTTGAAGATCTTCCACACATTTTCCCACCCTCTCAGCCACATTCCTTCCCTTTCTTCCATCCCTTCTTTTTTTTCAATTCACATAAGAGAATATTAAATATAAAAAATGGCCTTATAAAGAGACAATCTTCCGCCAACGGTGGTTTTAGTTTTGGGCTCAATGGCGGTGGAAAAAGAGAAAATTTCCGTGCAGAATTTCGATGGAGAACACTTTTTTCGTGTATAAAGAATGGTGGAGAAAGCTCACGAAGAAGCGCACGAAAATCTCACAATATGCATATATGAAAATGGAATTTCCTGTCGCGCTCTCAGCACGGCGAAAAGCTCTAAAGGAATTGTTGCAAGTTGCAAAATGCACATTTTGGGGTAAAATATCCATTACAGTGTTTGTCTTCATGGTTGGCTTTCTGGAATTCTCATGTACAGCCAACATAATTAGATGTTTGCATTGAATAAAGAAATTCTATTCCAACAATGAGGATATTATCGTTACCTTAAATTCTAAATGTTATGTTTTTAAATGTTGCGAACTTCAATTTTATCCAATTTTACCAAATTGAACCCGGAAAACATGGAAAATGCTTCCCGATTAAATTCAAATAAATAATAATAAAGGCGTCGTTGCAACATTACGTTCACGACATTTTAAATAAGCTGTCAAAAATATGAATTACAATTCAAAACATTTACAAAAGTGGTGAATTTATAATAATTTTCGTCATGTAAAGTGAAGGACAACCGGAAAATTAATGTGAAAATCAAAGAAATAGACAATAATGATTTTTCTAGCTATTTGCGCACATTTCTATTAACCAGATTGAGGTTATGTGTTTCCGGAAATCTTCCAATCCTTTCCAAGGAAACTCATTGGTTTCCCAAAGCATTTTCAAGTACAGAAAAAGCCATGTTTTTCTTCCATTTATTATTTATTGCTGAAATGTCACAATAAGACATATTCCCGGATATTCTTGTCAGCACAATCTTTTAAGAATGCCATCGGAAACACAGACAGTCGCAGATGAAGATGTCTTGTCACTTTTTGTCTGCTTAAAAGTAGCCGCAAATAAATGACTTTCAGACAGCTGAAATTCGTTTTAAATAAACTTCCATCTTTGCATTGCAACACCTTCTCGTTCGTATTTCATTATTAGAAATACGAGATCCGTAAAGTTGCAACGACCAAAAATTTCCAATTTTCCAAGGATTACAATTGTCGACTGTCAACTTTCATTCACTTTCTTCTCCAGATCGCGATGGACTGTCCAAAAGCGCACAAAAGTGGGCGAAAGGCGCAAAGTGACGACGATAACATTGTCAGTGGCACAAACTCATATTTTGCGAGGAAACATTTGTTCAGCTATTAAATATACATTTCCGCTCAATAAAACACATTCATGAATGTCATGTCGTTTCCTCCTACATACACAACTCTTCGCTGTGTCTTTGAGTTTCGCCCACCCTCAGAGAGTCTAACCGCTTCCGGTCTCGAGTGTTACTCGTGAAATTTATACATTGCCAATTTGCCCTGAGAAATCATCGCTGTAATCAAAATAAAAGCCACCCTCGCGCGTCCGTCGCATTTCAACCTATTGAACTTCACAAACACGCACAAAATTGAATCTCAAATAATGGCCCACGAAGCATGAATATCATGGCGAATGCGGAGGTGTTATGCGAATGGGGGTGGGGTGGGAAAATCCACCCTCTGGCCACAAATTCACTTGACATTGTAAATTACCAGCATTGACGTAATATTTCGTGCAATAAAGAGGTCTCAAATTGGTGGACTCTCCGTGTCCACACTGCTTTTCCACCCCTCTTTTGCTCCGGGGCTCGTACCTTTTCCCAACCCCCGGTGGCAAATGTGAAAATGTCACTAAGCACATTGTAGGATTTGCAGTGCGAGAAATTCAATTTGCACACCCAACGATTTGAGTATGGACACATTCTAACGAGTGTCTGAAAAGGATGAAATTTCACTGGAGTTTAATTTACAGCCCACAAATACGGCAATTTCTCACTGACTGTGCTTGTCGAGTGAATATGTTCGGAACTCAATCATTTTCCACATTACTCCATGTGGGAAATGCATTTCCAAATATCCATACCATTGCGGATGAGATGATAAATATTCATTTATCGAGGAAATTTAATTCATCAAATGCGAATGAAACTGATACACTTAATATCACTCACATTGAATATCTTCTGTTGATATTCCGAGTGACTTTCAATGGAAATATTTAATAAATGTCAGTTTGGTTTAGTGATTTTGAATTATTACATTTTTTACATGTCTTAAAAATGTTTCAAACCTCGAAGTGAGTAAATTTAACGAAAATCACAATGTTTTTACACGAATAATAAAGTACAAACCGCAGAAATAATTCAGCAAAGAGACATTTATCTCGGTTAAAATGACGTTTTTGAGGTTATTTTTGACTTTTAAATCGTTTATTGCTTCTAAAATTCAATCAATTTGAAGTTTTTCGAGCAGAAATGCTCAATTGTGCCAACAAAAAGAGAAATATTCCCAGTTTAAGCACAATTTTGATGATTTTGAAGACTATTTCAACACAGAATCGATTTCAAATCAATCACATAACCTAGAAAAGCAATCAAATTGATTTTTTCTAAGCAAAATAGCTTGGAAAATGCCTGAATTTGTTGAAAAAGAAGCTCTTGCAATGCGAATATTCAAAATATTTGACCACATCCAATTCCTAACACTTCTTTTAAAAACTGTACACCACTTCCGACCATATCTGCCCCTTGGCAAAAACCATACAAAAAGTCTCTTATAAACTATGAAATTACAGTAGCGAAAATTACGTTAGGACACCTATGAAATTTTGGCCATTTTTCCTTTTGGTGCTAAAGATTCGATATTTCTTTCAGTTTTAGAGACAACTACCTTAAGACAAAAGATAATGAGAATTTAATGATCTTTCAAATGGCGTTGCGATCATGGCGATATCTCAATTGGGGGCTGAGATATTGCAAAATGCAGAGAGATGTGCGTATAAGGACAGAGAAAATTACGTTAGGACACTGCGTATTTTTCTCTAAATCCTTGTTATAGTCATGTCCTTCTGCATCCAGAGTATTTAATTGACAGTCTTAAGATTTCACAAGTCATCTTGTTTGTCCGCTTGACACACTTTCCATGCCCACAAATGCTCAATGGCAATTGATGAAGCATAATTATGTGCCTTACTAATGAGGAAAAGGAGCGAGAATTCAACAGCACGAGCGCATATGGAAAAGTTACCTCAGAAGGAAAAATACGAAAATTCCATGAATATTTAATTAGCGAAAAATCAATACGACACCTAATTAATAGTATCGCAACTTTTTCCCCAAACAAATTGACTGAAAGTTCTTCTCACCAGTTGTCCTTCTTCTCCTCCCTGTTTTTTTTTCGCAGGATCTCCAACGCCGACAGTCACGTGGTCGAGCAATGGCCAAATGCTCTCGAGTACAATGCTAGATTTCTCATTTCCTACCGCCGTGAATAGTAAACTTGTAGTTCGTAACCTGTCGAGAATTCACCACCACACAGTCTACACGTGTCAAGCGAGCAATTTCCACAAGAGAGTCGTCTCCACCAATGTCACCATCGAGCTGTACCGTAAGTGGACGCAATTATTCTTTTAAATTATTCCACAAGTTATTAAAAAGCTGCGATTTACATCACAGCTTATATTCTGTAATCGCGCCAGAAATCAAACCTCGCAAAATCAACTCCACTCGACTCAGGTAACCTTAAAATGCCGAAATATGACGAAAATTATAGGGGGGTCACTTTTTTTCGTGTCTGTTTGTCTTTCCGTCAATTACACTTTCCTCAATTGTTCAGCAGTTATGACACGAATCGGACTCAAATTCTGAGGGCTGAGTCTTGAAAATGGTCAAAATCAGAATCAACAGAACCTCATCGATTTTTAACTTGTTGACATGATCACAATTTTGAAAGTTTCGTGAGTCTTGAGTCAAAATCAGTCTTCGGAATGTTTCGGGAGGGGAAATGCTTTCGGAACGCAGGCAGAAACGTCATTTTGTTGTTTTGATTTGAGCCAAGTTGATGTGTTTGAGGCAGAAAATGATAAAAATGCTCCTCAAACTTAACTTTTACCCCAAGGAATTATCCTGGGGTGTCTGCCCACGCTTTAAGAAGGCCAAAAATTAACCTTCAGGCGACAAATATGTGAATAATGTGCATTATTAACGTACAGATGTTCTCCTGCGGTTATACGAGAAGTCCCAGGAGCAGAATGAGACTTCTGCGAGTGATCTTGAGGTGCCCCACGAGATGGGGATCGACTACCTCCCCTTTGCAAAAATTTCTCCATCCATTTTTTTTGTTGAACCAATTGTTCATCTTCTGATTACACTTGGATTTGTACTATCTGTCCACATGTTCAGTTCATTGATTCATAATTCATGAGACTTAAGCACTAAGCAAAGGGCGAAGAATTTGGGAATTCCATTCAATTAAAGATACCTTCAAAACTGAAAATGTTTATGCATGACATAATAAAATTTGGATTATCGTTGCCTCGACACTGCAAAGGACTCTCAGGGACTAGATAGCGCGCATGGAAAGAAATTATTTTCCGTCTCTGAGCCTCTTACGCGAGCGCAAGAAAAGAGATGCTTATATCTCGGCTGTAATAAGGAAAATTATCAATATAAAATTAAAAACAATTAAAATAATTATTCTATTATCCATTTCCGATGCCATCGATGGCCATTTGATACTCTAATTGAAGTAAAATCTTAAAATTGAGACATCGAGCAATCGTGTTGACTCGATGTTCTCATGTCAACACGAGTTGATTGATTTTAAGCCAATTTTGACTCGGTTTCTGACTGATTTTTACTCAAGACTCGCGAATTTCTCAAAATCAGTCAATTTCCACTGATTCTGATTTTGACGAATTTCAAGACTCAGCCCTCTGGTACATTATAGCTGACCTCAAGACCTTTCCCAACAAACAGCCACTTAAGGACCTAGGACCTTCCGGACCCTAGATATAAGGATGCATATTTCAAAAATTAAAATGATTATAGCTCAGCTTCTAATTAACTGATCGGAATTACTTTGTATTCATTGGAAACGTCTCGTAAAATACCATCTCTCACTGGAACATCATAAATTAGTAGGACCACCGCCAGAGGCGCTAATGTCAATAACAATTTTTGAAATAATTTATTAAGTATTTCGATAGTCCAGATCGAGACGTTTCCAAAAAAAGGGATCAAACTTTTCTATCGAAGCCATAGAACGAGAGTTAAAACTGTTTAAATTTCAGGACTTGAATTTCGTATTGCATGAAAATTTCCATGCTTTCTTTCCTTCTTACTAAATCGAGTTGGCCACGGAAGAGAGAAATTGTAAATCCCAGCTAATACAACCATAAGCACACGCGAAGAGTGTGCTTATCTGTATTTTTCCTTTAAATTATTCCTCAGTGTTATTTCTGGACGTCCTGGAAAAATAGACAAATTTTCTCTCCGCGTGTGTCGTAATTAAGAATGTATGTGAATAATTTGTATATTGGTGAATAGTTACTTTGTAATCCATTACAACCCTTTAATTATTTCCCGCTTCCACTCCCTCCATTTGTTAATATCCGCCGTTGGAGAAATCTCTGGGAGAAACTTTTACGGAGCTCTTATAAATTTTACGAGTTTTCCGCTTTCCCACCCACGCCCCGAAGACCTCGTCAGGAATATAAGCAGAAGATTAATGATTAATGTCGTGTGTGTGTGTTCCAGTTCGACCACTTTCCGTGGAAATCCTCTTTGGGAATCAACCCCTATCGGCGGACCGGCGCTATGAAGTGCAATGCCAAACGGTGGGCTCGAGGCCGCCGGGGAAAATTACATGGTGGATGAGTGGCGTTGAACTGAAAGCCTCAAATGTGAAGGTAAGTTCATTAATTATCAGACACTTTTCAAAAATCTTCAGGCCTTCACCTCTGACCCGGACAGCTTTCTTCGCAACCAAACACTTCGCACTTTCTCTCAGGTGGCAAATCAATGGAACTCCATTAACTCACATCAAACATTCACTCGTTTTCCCCGCTTAAACACTTTCAGTATTAGAAATTTTGGCTACAAAACAGTGATTTGTGATTTCCACAAACAACCAGAAAAATTACAATTTCATTTGCAAGATTTCCAAATGTAAAATTGCAATCAAATATTTAAATATTGGATGTTTACTTCGTTACTTTGTTACTCAATATGAAAATTTAATCAAAAATAATTTTATTTGTTGAATATATGGCAAATATTTAATTTCATCTGATTTACAAATTTCATTTGAAATTATTGGTTAACAGATTATTGGGAGGCGTTTAAATCCCTTCAAATTAAACCATCGGTAAAATTATATTATGTGAAAAATGTCACAAAATTTGCCACAAACAAGGAGGAGATAATATGACTTCTGTATTAAATCTTTAACACTTCAGACACTTCTGAACGTCTTCAGAGGCATTTTCTATCGTTTTTTAGGCTCCTTCTCAATCTAATCTAAGTTTTTCCACCTGAGAAAGTACAATTTCTCCTCAAATACTTAGATGTCAGATTGTAAGAAATGATTTTAATGTCCCAAAATGTGTTCTGTGTAATTGTGAGGTTATGAATTCAGCTTAAAAATACTTTAAGTCTGGAAAATGAGTAAAATCCACACACAAAACACAAACCGCGAATATAACTAAGCGAAGAAATGTTCTTCTAGACTTAAATTACATTGTTTTTGAGGTTATCGTTGCCTTTTAAACCGCTTCTTAACTAATCTGAAGTTTTATTTGAGACGCAAATAATCAATTTTGTTAAGAAAAGGGAAAAATTCTCCACTTAAACACAAATAAGATGATTTAAAAGGGGTTTTTATTGCCAGAATCTATTTTAAATTAATCACATAACCTAAAAAAAGCGAATAAATTGAGTTTTCTTCGATTTTGAGAAGAGAGAATTAAAAAAAATTTAAAAATCTGTTAGACGACAAATTAAGAGTTATTGAATCTGATTTTATGTCGAAAAGTGCGAATTGCAAATTAAATGAAGTTAAAATTCATTATCAAATGTTCAGCAAACAATGCCAGAGGCGGAAAAATAACATGAAAAATCGTGAAATCGCGTATATTTGGCGTTTGGATGCTTCTTTCGATTCTTTTTTTTTGACATGCTGTTGTGCAATCATATATATCTTCCCCACTTTGCCATGAGAATGGCTTTTGCAATTTGCTGTGGTTTCCACTTAGAAAAGTTGAAACATCAATTATAAATTGGAGCAATTTCGCTCGCCACTGGCATACATAGTGCAGCGCTAAATTCCGGAAAATAATTAAATAGAAATTAAAGTTCATTTAATCTAGGCATTAGCGTGAAAATGGAGAAATTGTGTGTGGGTCCGCAATTTCTCCTCGCCACAGCATGTGTTTTTCATTAGACATGTGGGGAATTGTGAGATAGGAGAATTCCTACAAGAGCTCGCTCTCATCTTCCGAAAACGGGACGCCAAGTGGGCGGATGAAAGGGATTTTGCGACTCACACTCGGCGCCGCACTGAAAACTACGAACAAGGGGCAAATCACAAGGCGATCTTTGAGGAAACTAAGTGTTCTTTAATCAAATATTAAAATCATTTGAGGAAAATAATCATAAAGTAAAATTGCAAAATTATCAAAATTTGAAGAAAATAATCATAAAATCATTATTTTCCCAAGTAAAATTGCAAAATAATCAAAATTTGAAGAAAATAATCAAAAAATTATTATTTTCCTAAGTAAAATTGCAAAATAATCAAAATTTGAAGAAAATAATCATAAAATTATTATTTTCCAAAGTAAAATTTCAAAATAATCAAATTAAAAAAAAATTTGAAGGAAAATTGCAAAATAATCAAATTTTAATGAAATAATCAGGAAATAATCTGAATTTTGTATGAATTAAACAATTTTTTATTAAATATTAGGAAATACTTCAAAAAATAATCAGAGTTTGTATAGAATATTAAAAATTTGAATTATAATCTCAAATAATCAAAGAATAATCAGAATTTGTATAAAATAAACAATTTTTCATCAAATATTCAGAAAACAATCCAAAAATTATCGGAATTTGTATGAAATAATCAAAATTTGGATAAAACTTGTATTAAAATCACAAATAATTAAAAAATAATAATCAAAATTTAGAATAATCACAAAGTGGTCTCAAATCGCGAGTGATTGTCCCCTTGACTAGGATGGAATAATAGTGTATGACGGCGGTTGGGTCGTTGAGGAATATGTTAAACATACAGTATGTGAAATTTATGTAATTAACCTTTTCACCTTCTCATTGTTGTGGAGCGTCGACAATTTCCTATTGTGCCACAGCACGAGCTTCGCCATTCACACCGTCTTGGATACAATTGGTGGAATTTGTGTTTTCTCAACTCGCTCCTTTTATTCGGCAGGTATCATCGGATGGCAACGTGAGTTTATCAACATTGAATTTTACACCCACACGACAAGACCACGGCAAAACACTTGTTTGTCGTGCCACTAACGAGCTGGTTAAGCGCGGAATGAAGGAAACATCGATGAAATTGAATGTGTTCTGTAAGTAGATATATTCACTTCCTCACAGACCCTCAATTGCCGACCCTCTGCAACCCTGCAATAATTCCCGCGATGCACTGTCATTTCCTCGAAATCATTCCTAAGCTCTTCATTTTCCATATTTGCTGCCAAACGACACAGTGCTTGTTTACCACCGAGCATAAACCTCATTAGTAGAAACATTTCGAAACATTGCTCGGCTGAAAATACTCTAAATCATCATCAGAGTGATTAAAAGCGCGGTTAGTTCCACGAAAATAAGTTACATTGCCTCAAAACTGTTCAAATCAATCAATTTTCCATCGGGCAGCCCAAATATTGCAGATTTCCAGCAGCTGTTTTGACAGATAAGAATGAATTTAATTTTCCCCACCACATTTTTGCACTTCTCTCTGAGAAAATCTGAAGTCAAGAAGGGTTGAAAGGGTAAAAACAACAGAAAAATAGGGGAGAACAGTTGGCGCCACATTTGACAACTTTGACAGTAACAATCTGGCAACCCTTTCAAACACTGTCAAAGCAAATTCCATCCGTTTGAAGTGCAAACCACTCAAAATTGCATGAAATTAAATTTTAAATACATTTATTAGCTATTTTGGGAAAGTTTTTGATGAAAACATATTTTTGATTCACTGAATTTTAGCTATTTTCTAAGCATTGCAATAGAATACCAGAGAATGACGTAAGTGGGGCAGCGTTGACACACGAGAATCCACTAACATTGTCAATTATCTTGTGCATTAAATGTTTTGAAGCTGCTATTTGTGACTAATAATTTCAATTAAAGAAATTATGAGGCTTATTTTTACGGTTTTACAGGATATTTGTGATGAATTTTGTGTGTCAAAGCTGCCCCACTTTGCTCTATCTCAAGAATTAAACTAGAAATCTCAATGGGAGATCTTAAGCCAGCATATACAATCAAATTGCCACCACTTCAGAAATGACCCTGAGTTGCAGATGTGTTTTCTGATGTCAGTTAGTTTCCATTCCACGGGGTTGAGCGTGGAAAGTGGCAGAGGGATGTTTTGCGCAGCAAACCCACCACCTGTGCCAGTGGCAATTGCGATGTGTTTCGCTTTTATCAGCTCGGAATGGTCATATAACAATCATTGAGAAAACCCACCAAACACATCAAATTGATGCCGAAGAGAAGACAGACGAACGTGAAGAAGGGAGGAAAACCATTCGGCAAAGGGCGAAAAAATGCAAATGCCTCTCGAGGGGTGAAAGGGGGCGCGCGTGGGGGTGCGAGAGAGGTTTTGAAATTAGATTGGAGGTGAGAGGAATTCCTTTAGCTGTCTGATCCTATTTCTGTGCGCCACCTTGAGGCACATTCGCACGAATTAGAAGTGAATAAATGTGGATTTGCACCGATAAAGAGCACAGGGGTGGCTGATATGGCATAAAAAACACATGTTGTGCGTGTCACGAAGCAGAGAGGGAGAGAACACCAGGTGTCTGAGCGAGAAGATGTAGCGGCAATTCGTGATGATGAATTTTTATATGTTGGCGGGCGGGGAAAGCGTGGCGCTGCCAATATCCCCGGCGCGCCACCTTTGGCACAGCATCGGCTGCACCCTTGTGAGCACTTGCCGTGCCTGAATATTGAATAACCGACTCTTTATTGTATTTTATTATGAGCCACTTCACGTGGAATTTGAATTGTTTTATTATCCCCATCACGTTTGCTGCTGTTTACGTGAATGCGTTTGCAAAAAAAGATATGAAAGAAAGAAAGAAAAGCCCGACAACTTTTCGGCGCGACTCGAAAATGTCTCTCGCAACACTTAAATTCACTCCCCGCGCAGTATAAATTGTCTATATTCGCCACTTCCTGTGCCAGCTATATAGGCCACGAGGGGTTGATTCGATGGGGTCGAAGGGCGCGCGAGGTGGGCGAAAAATGAGGAGCGAGAGAGGAAAATTATTAATACCTCTAAATGAGGTCTTGGAGCGATTATAAAATGAAATTTTCCAAGCAAATTTAATTAATTAGTATTTCGCTTTCTGTCGCTCTTCAGGGGCGCCTTTAAGGGTGTTTTTCGGCAGCGACGTGGGTGAATACATGAGAATAAATTGAACAAAATATCTGTGATGATTTGCATTGCTTTGTGCTTCATCAGACTCTCTCTCTCTCAGGGTGGAATTTCATTATGCGGATTAAAAGAGGAGCTTTATTGGGAAGTTCCTTTTTCTTAAATATATACTTAAGAATGTGTTAAATTGCAGAAGATCAAAATGTCACAAATTACAAAATTGTAGGAAAATTCTCTGCACGAAGTGAAATATTCAAACCTATCGATTTCACGTGAAAGTTTTCCACGTTTCGCGATGCAGGATTACTCAAGGGATGCGCGGGTGTATAAATGGTAGATGATGATTATATTATACATGAATAGTCTCTTGTGAATTGGAGATTATAGTGGTGTATTTAGCATAATTAATATGAGTTTACCGCATAATAATTATTTGCCAGCTGTGCCAGCATTATGAATAGAATATTACGCATTTTCAATGTGCATTAGATGAATTTTCACCACGCATTTATTCATTCAAATACAGCAAATACAAAAGTGGCTGTGCTTTAATAGGAAAATCATACAAAAAAAGGCACACTCTCTGGGCTGTGAAAAAGCTGCCCAACTCGAGAGCTTTGCCAAAAGACAGCGGACGATGCGATAAGGCGTGGAAAAGGAAGAAAAGTTGAGAGAACAGGAAATACTCTGTATCTCGTGCTTCAGCAAAGATATACAACGCATTTTTATCTGTTTCAGTTTGAGAGATGGTATAAAAAGATATATAAATTTCAATGTAGTGACATTTTCGTGTGCTTTAAAGCGTCATATATCTTCGCCTTTTCCTCGGCGGTGGAAAAAGGGAAGAACAAATGGGGGACTGATTGTGTGACTTGGCGTCAGAATAGAGACGCTATCGAAGAGCATTTATGAGATAATCCAACTTTTCCATCTTCTTCAGTGACACAAAATGAAATCATTACATGATTCATGCACCGCAGCTTATCAGTTGCCAAAGATTTGGTGATTAGAAACTCCTAAGATTGGTATTCTGGAAATGTAGAAATCGAGTTTTTGGTATTTTCAGCGGTAAAAGCGTAAAAGGATGTAATAAATATTAACAAATTCTGCCCTCACGGAAATAAATAGCAAAAAAAGGTGTATTTAAGTGTGCATTGCGAAATATTTCACATAAATATCGCGCTTTTTGGTTCTTCATTGGCTAATATTTATAGCGAATTCCACTTTGAATTCCCTTTTACGAAGCTCATGAATTCCATCAGATTTTTCTTCAGGGTATTTTGGACCTCGGAAACTCATCTTTCCAACGAACAAAAGCTGCCAAGACACTTTTTATAACTGACTCAATGCGAAAAATGCCCTTAAGAGCTCAATCTGAGATTCTGTTATTGCGTTTTTCAACTATTTAGAGTGGTTTTTAGGCCACAAAGTTATTTTCCAATTCTTTTATAAGACATTTGAGCTCAAAGGTAATCTAAAAATCTTTCCACGAATGATTATGGGTCATAGAAGTAGCAAAGAGCACTGAAAATCTCTTAAAATTTTCATGAAAACACAACAAATATCTCTTGTTTATGAGAAACACGCGTAAAAAGTTTAATATTATTGACTTTCTTTAGTTCCTTCCACATCATGTTCCACAGTTTATCTCTCATGAAGTCAGGAATTGAAAAATTAGCCGATAGAAATGGAAGATTCAAGAATATCAGCCCAGAGATTCATTAAACGCACGCGGTGAGGGACAGACTGTGAGTGTGCTAACAAAGATTTATAATCTAATGTAATCTAGTGTCAGAAAAGATTTATTTTTGAGAAATGAACACCCACTTTAACTCACATAAACATTTCCTCTTTGGATGCTTTCGTGCAAGCAGAACATTGTGCCAACCATCAGGAAGGTGTCAAGCTGTGAAAGCTCGTGTGCCATTGATAATAATGAAAGTGAAATGCGCAAATATTTGAGATTCATCGTAAAATGCTGGAAAAGTGGTGGTTTTTTGTAAGTGTGCGGAGAAACTAATTTTGGGAAACTCATCTCTGGATTTAATTAGGCGACATTGCACATGTCTCCAGATTTATCTTTTCAATACAATAATCACCAAATCGTATTTCCTGTCAGGCACTCTCACATGCGGTTTTCCACCGCCAAATCCACACCTTTTGCCGGATGTTGAGAGCGAGTGTGGGATTTATCCCCAGTATGAATTGCAAGACGAGTAACGATTCCATTCAATCTAAACATTTTCAGTGTGGGGTTTTATTGGAAAAAGAGATTACTGCACCGCATCTTGTCCGCCGTACGTGTGGAGATCTTGTATGTTCCACAAGACCTTCCACCGGAGAATGTCATACACGGGCCAAAAGGAGGGGGGTTGAAGCCACCCCCAAGATAGCCCTGCACAAAGCCACACCACAGTTCACTGCACAGCAGCCGAGGGGATGGATTTTGTCGCTTCCATCCAGCGAACATCTCATAATATCCCTTTCGTGTCCTTCTCAGCGCACCGGCGAAAGTCACAAGTTCAGAACGCTGTGCGGAGCTTTTATTCTCACAACCGCACAAATACGTGGTCAATAAATATACAATTTAATTGTGATTTTTCCACCCACGTACAACTTGTCACTCGGTGGAGGGAAAAAGAGGTGGCCAAATGCGAAAACTGTCGACGAACCTTTTGCCGAAAGAGAATGGAATCGAATTTCACACTCCATCTAGTGGAAAGTGCAAAATATACTCCTTTTCTGCTAAATTAACCAAACATAGCAGATTGGACGTCGCTATTATGCTCAAGAAATGACTATTTCTTAATAAAGGCTCCTCTTGTGTTGGCGATAAAAGAAATAGAGTAGAGCTTTTCGTCTCAAGTTGACCCTTTTCGCCACACATGCGTTCATTTACCGGAGACAGGAATAAATGGTGCTATAAATAAGAATTTGTATCGAAAAACTCTGCTTGTTATT